TGAAGGACAGAGTAGAACTGCCCCGTAGTGTTTCCTAGGCTGTAATTTTTACAAGAGCAGATTGCAGGTTTCTTCTCCACTGAACATCTGGTAAGTTCAAACAGCTGACCTTTCGGTGAGCAGCCAGGTGCTTGCCATTGTGCCACCAAGACTCCTTATAGTCATCTTAGTAGGTGTGAAGTAGTATCTCATTTTGCTATTGTTTTGTTTTTGATATATATGTTTTAATTTTTTATGTAGTCAGCTATATCAGGAATACATATGCATTTTTTTAAAAAATGTTTTCAAAGCTAAATAAGCATTAACTCCACACAGTTGATTAAAAGAAATCACAATCTCTACCACTTCCTCCTTTCCATTTCCCCTTTCTCTGCTGTAAAGACTTTCAGTTCTTTTAACCAGTGCTTCTCAACTGGGAGCAAGGGAACATTTGGCAATGTCTAGAGGTGTTTTTGATTGTCACAGCTGGGGGGAATGCTGCTAAGTATCCTGTGATGAACAAGACAGGTCCCCGAAATAAACAGTTAGTCCAAATTTTCAATAGTGCTGAAGTTGTCAAACCCTACTTTTAACTGATTCTTTTGGTATTTACCTCCACATCTTTTAGTAACTTGCTGTTTCTTAATTTTTCAGTTTTAGACATTATATAATAACCTCTTTGAAAGATAAGAATTTAGCTCTTTTCTTCCCCCACCCTCCTATTTTCTAAATATAATTGTGTTGTAATTGTGGAGAACTCATTATTCAGATTTCTCATTATTGTGAATCACCATGTAAGCTATTCAGAGCTGAGTTTTGTGGTTAACTGTGATTATTTTGTCTTCATTCTTTTTTGTTTTCCTTGGAGTTCATAATTATCCCCTCCCCCCTTTTTTTTTTTTGCTTTGTTTATTATGTACTTTGTAATTCACCCCCCCCAACCAATTCTCTATCAGTTGTCTAAATCGCCTTTCAATATCTTCATTCATATCAGTTATTCTATCAATTTAATCTTCCTGAAAAAGGGGCTCTTGGAACTTCTGACTGACCAACTTACAACCTGGACTATGTTGCACTCTTTGTTTGGTGTACTGTTGTCATCTTGGCATCTCCTTTCACTATTATCCTGGGAATTCTCTTTCCCTTTTTCTTCTATGGATCTACTGTTTCCTGTACCTCCATGTATTTACTCTTTGTTCCTAGTATTCTGAAATTTCACAGTGATATTTCTTGGTATGGGTTTATTTCACCCATTGTGTGGAGCAGTAAGCGGACTGTTTTGATTTGAAAACTCATGTCTTTCAGACGGGAAAATTTTCTTGAATTGTTTTTGTTCATTAGTTTTGCCCCTCTGTTTTATCTGCTCTTTCTGGAGCATTCAGCATTCTGGATGTTGAGTCTCCTGGAATGGTCCTCCTTCCTCTCCCATTTGTCAGCTAGTTTTCCTCTTGCTTTACTTTATGGGATATTTCATCAGCTTTACCCACCAATCAGCTTGAGTTTTCAATTTCTACTATTGTATTTTATATATCCAGAAGCTTTTTTTTTTTGTTTTCTGAAATTTCTTTTTAAATAGGAGCCTATTCTTTTTCTTTTTTTTGAAACAATATCTTCTCTTATATTTTTGAAAATGTTAATGCTAATTTGCTTTATTCAGAAGCAGTCATATGCTCAGATCCCTTCCCCTTCTCCATGCAGCTGGATAAAGGACTGGGGATTCTAGAAGGATAAAAGACAGTTTATACCTGGCAGCCACCAATTTATTTTTCTTTGTATACACTGATTCCTCCAAATTGTTTTTTTTTTTCTTTTTTCTGTTTGTTTATTTTGGTTTCTCTTTTTCATGTTGATGGAGTTCCTCAGATGTATGCTAATCTTCTCCCCCCCCTCCCCCCGCCATATTTATTAGTAGGGAGTTGAAATGAGAAGCTCTGACCATGTTAGCAGGGCTGGTTGACTATGAAGTTCACTATAGGGTGATCTCACTGGGCTATTCAGTTGAGGAACCTCCCAAGTCCATATCTTTAAGTCTTTCCTCATGGGGTAGTCAAATTCCCTGGAGAAAACTCTTCTAGTCCTCTAACTAGAGGGCTGGCTGCTAGAATTCTGGTGGCCAACTAGGGAGAGAGAGCTTGAGGTCCCAATATCCAGTAAGGCATACTTCATTTAATTTTCCTGTTTTCACTATGGTACTTTCCAATCCCAATTGTGTCTGGTGGCTGCCAGGTAAAAACTGTCTTTTATCCTTCTAGAATCTCCTTACCCAGTTGTGTGGAGAAGGGGAAGGGATCTGAGCATATGACTGCTTCTGAACAAGACTTTTGACTCAATTATTTCTCCAGTCTTTTACCCAGTTGTGTGGAGAAGGGGAAGTGATCTGAGCATATGACTGCTTCTGAACAAGACTTTTGACTCAATTATTTCATTTTGAAATAATTTCAGACTTAGAAAAAAATGTTCCAAAAATAGTCGGGTTTGGGTTTTTTTGACCCATCTATGGGAAGCTTTTTAGAAATACAGCTTCCTGGACCCTGCCCTGAAGATTCTAATTGGATCAGTCTGGGTTGACACACAGTACTGTATGTTTTTTAAAAACGCCTTGAATAACTGCAGTATGCATCCAGATTTAGGAGCTACTTTCTTAGAGATTGTAAAGATTAGGGAAAACCAAAATGAAACGAAACCCATTGCCATCGAGTCTATTCCAACTCATACCAACCCCATAAGACAGAGTAGAACTGTCCCATAGGTTCCCAAGATGTGGCTGGTGGATTTAAATTACCAACCTTTTGGTTAGCAGTTGAGTTCTTAACCACTCCGCCACCAGCCTCCTAAAGATTAGGGAAGCATTTACTTATTAATTCAATAAATACTTTCTTGTCCAATTTTAATGTATTGGACATTGTGCTGGGCACTGGTGATGAACCATTTCAGGAGATAGCATATGATCAAGAACTGGTGGTACTGAAGGAAGCAATCCCAGCTGCACTGAAGGCATTGTCAAAAAACAAGACTCCAGGAATTGACAGAATACCAATTGAAAAGTTTCAACAAACGGATGCAGCGCTGGAAGCGCTCACTTGTCTATGCCAAGAAATTGGAAAGACAGCTATCTGGCCAACTGACTGGAAGAGATCCATATTTGTACTCATTCCAAAGAAAGGAGATCCAACAGAATGCAGAAATTATCAAATAATAGCATTAATATCACACACTAGTAAAATTTTGCTGAAGATCATTCAAAAGCAGTTACAGCAGTACATCAACAGGGAACTGCCAAAAATTCAAGCTGGATTAGGAAGAGTACATGGAACAAGGGATATCATTGCTGATGTCAGATGGATCATGGCTGAAAATAGAGAATACCAGAAAGATGTTTATGTTTTATTTATGGGAATTCTAGAACACTTAATGGTGCTCATGAGGAACCTGTACATACACCAAGAGGCAGTTGTTCGAACAGAGCAAGGGGATGCTGCGTGGTTTAAAATCACAAAGGTGTGCATCAGGTTGTATCCTTTCACCATATTTACTCAGTCTGTGTGCTGAGCAATAATCCGAGAAGGTTGACTGTATGAAGAAGAATGCAGCATCAGGATTGGAGGAAGACTCATTAACAACCTGCAATATGCAGATGACACAACCTTGCTTGCTGAAAGTGAAGAGGACTTGAAGCACTTATTGATGAAGATCAAAGACTACCGCCTTCGACATGGATTACACCTCAACATAAAGAAAAAAAAATCCTCACAATTGGACCAATAAGTAACGTCATGATAAATGGAGAAAATATTGAAGTTGTCAAGGATTTCATTTTACTTGTATCCACAGTCAACACCTATGAAAGCAGCAGTCAAGAAATCAAATGATGTATTGCATTGGACAAATCTGCAAAAGACCTGTTTAAAGTGTTCAAAAGCAAAGATGTCACTTTGAGGACTAACATGTGCCTGACCCAATCCATGGTGTTTTCTGTCTTCTCATATGCATGTAAAAGCTGGACACTGAATAAAGAAAAGCAAAGAAGAATTGATGCCTTTGAATTATGGTGTTGCTGAAGAATATGGAACATACCACGGACTGCAAGAATCAACAAATCTGTCTAGGAAGAAGTACAGCCAGAATGCTCATCGGAAGCTAGGATAGCAAGACTTCGTTTCACATACTTTGGACATGTTATCAAGAGGGACCAGTCCATGGAGAAAGATGTCATGCTGGGTAAAGTGGAGGGTCAGTGAAAAAGAGGAAGATCCTCAGCAAGATGGATTGGCACAGTGGCTGCAACAATGGGCTCAAACATAGCAACGATTGTGGGGATGGCGTATGACCAGGCAGGGTTTCATTCTGCTGTACATAGGGTCACTATGAGTCAAAATCAACTTGATGGCACCTAACAATAGCCTAACAGGATAAATGTTAGATTAGTGCTACACAGATGAGGGAACATCTTCCTGTAGCTTGGAGAATTAAGAATGACTTATGGCTAAGGTAAAAATTTGAGCCAGGACTTGAAACCTTAGCAGTTTCCCAAGTGAAAAAGTATGTTCTAATAAGAGGAAACAGCATGCATAAAAGTGAGGAGTTATGAAAGGTTATCGTATATTTAAGAAGTGATAAGAAGATTGATGTGGTGGTATATGTGGTGGGCAGTGGAGGGAAGTAAGGTTGGAAAAGTAGGTTGAGGGTGGATTATAAAGGACCTTGTATAGCATAAGTTTGGATTTTTTTCATGCAGTTGATAGGAAGGCAGTGGACTTCTGTAGATAGGAGAGTGATCTGTTCAGGCATTATGAATTTTTTTTTTTTTTTAAAGAAAATATAGGTGGCAGCAAGGGAAATAATAAGGAGAGTGGAAACAAGGTAATCATTGAGGAGGATGTTACAGTAATCTGATGGAAAAATCATGAAGATCAATAATAAGGCATGCATTGTTGTTATAACCATTCAGTGAATAAATCGTTTTCTACAGTCTCTAGTAAAAATAATTCTTTGTAATTCCTTTCCCTTGTGTTTTTTTCTAGGTTTGAAGTCCTGAGTTTTCTCATGTTGTGCTATAACTCTGCTATTGTGTATATGCCTGCCTCATCTTATCAATCTCTTTGTCGGATGGGCTCCAGGTGAGAAGAACAATCATCATTAACCTTCATATTCATTCATTTAACAGATATTTATTGAGCCAGGCTCTGTTCTAACTTCTGGTAATACAGCAGTAGACTTCTTGAAAAATTTTTCAGCATTAAAGAAGTATTTTCTAGGTGAACATTGAGTTAAGCCAAGACATTCAAGTTTAGGATTGTTTATGATGCACCTGGAGGAACCCTGGTGGCATAGTGGTTAAGTACTGGGCTGCTAAACTCAGCTGCTCCACGAGATAAAGATGTGGCCGTCTGCTTTGATAAAGATTTACAGCCTTGGAAACCCTATGAGGCAGTTCTGCTCTGTCCTATAGGGTCAGTATGAATCGACCAGGTGGCAGTGGGTTATGATGTAACTAATTATTCCCTGGATGCCATTTTTTATAAATCACTTTGAGTAAATAGTCCTACATATAGGGAAAGGAATGTGAACCTTCTCCTAAAATTTCTTTATACATTTCACAAATTATTGTCTTTGTGTTGGATAAGAAAATTGGCAATAGCACCGATCATCTGTGTGTTTCATTTGCGTGTGTCTGTTCTATGTGTCTCTTAGATTATAATCTTCAGTAAGTCAGAATTTCTAATAATTTGAACACACCTGGGCTGAAATTTAAATTTCCATTATAGAAAAAGAAATTTAAGTAGTATAGATTAGTTTGGGGACAGGAAATATTCAGAGTCGAAGACTTTCGACAAACTTAAAGTGGCTTAGAACAATACAGTTTTCAGTGGGTCAGTAACCTAGGCATGGTTTAGCTGGGTCCTCTGCTTAGGGTCTCACAAGGCTGCAGTTAAGATGTTAGCTGGAGCTGCAGTCTCATCGGGGCTCGACTGGGGAAGGATACACTTTTGTTGGCAGAATTCTGTTCTTTGTGATTATAGGACTGAGGGCTTCACTTCTGCTATCTGTGTGCCAGAGGCCATCCTTAGTTCTTTGCTGTGTGGTCTTCCCAAAATAGGCAGCCTACAGCATGGCATCTTGCTTCTTCAAAGCCAGGAAGAGAGTGAGAGAGAGAGAGACACAGAAGAAAACTTTCTTTGATGATTACCAGGGTAGGGAGGAAGGGAGAGGGGTGTTCACTAACTAGATAGAAGACAAGAATTATCTTAGGTGAAGGGAAGGACAGCACACACTACGGGGGAAGTCAGTACGACTGGACTAAACCAAAGCTAAGAACTTTCCTGAATACAACCAAACACTTCGTGGGACAGAGTAGTTGGGTCAGGGGACTGGGAACCATAGTTTCAGGGGACATCTAGGTCAATTGGCATAACAAAGTTTATTAAGAAAGTGTTCTGCATCCCACTTTGGTGAGTGGCGTCTGGGGTCTTAACAGCTAGCAAGCAGCCATCCAAGATGCATCAGTTGGTCCCAACTTACCCTGGAGTAAAGGAGAATGAAGAGCACCATGGACACAAGGAAGGTATTAACCCAAGAGACAGAAGGAGCCACATAAACCAGAGACTTCATCAACTTGAGACCAGAGGAACTAGATGGTGCCTGGCTACCACCAATGACTGCCCTGACAGGGAACACAACAGAGAGTCCCTGATGGAGTGGGAGAATAGTGGGGTGCAGAAGTCAAATTCTAGTAAAAAGACCAGACTTGGTGATTTGTTTGAGACTGGAGGGAGCCCAGAAGACATGGCCCCCAGACTGTTAGCCCAGAACTGAAACCATTCCCGAGGCCAACTCTTCAGACAAAGATTAGACTGGACTATTGGACGTAAAATGATACTCATGAAGAGTGTGCTTCTTAGCGCAAGTAGATACATGAGACTAAATGGGCAGCTTCTGTCCAGGGTGAGATGGGAAGGCAGAGAGGGTCAGGAGCTGGTTGAATGGACACAGGGAATCCAGGGCTGAAAGGAGGAGTGAGCTGTCACAGTATAGGGAGAGCAATTAGGGTCATATAACAACGTATGTATAAATTTTTGTATGAGAGACTAACATGAATTGTAAGCTTTCACTTAAAGCACAACAATAAAAATAAATAAGTAAATACATACAGTATCTTCATTTGCCTATAATAATATAATAAATGGCTAACAGAGTTCTTATCTTTAACCTAGAAACTGTTTTCAAGAGAATACACTATTTAAGCACTTAATGCTTATCTGTAGGTAAATTTATGAGTGACTGTTTTTGGTTCACTAAAACAAATCTGTTGAATCTCTAACTGGCAACATTTTAATAGAGTTAATAGAGTTTCTTGATAATATAACCAATGGCAGAGTTCAGTTATCTTCCAACTTTTGCTCACCTATTCCCTAAAAGAATTTTGAAAATTATGTACCCCTTGCACGTTTATAATGTTTTAAAGGTTTTCATTCTATCTTAAGTAGTTGCAAATGATATGATTTCTAGTATGTAAATATTGATGTGATTAAAAAAAACCTGTTGGGCCCCGATTTTAAATGTGTATAAACAACAACAACAAAAAACTATTGCCGTCAAGTCAATTCTGACATATAGCGACTCTATAACACAGAGTAGAACTGCCCCGTAGAGTTTCCAGCGAGCACCTGGTGGAGTCAGACTGCCAACCTTCTGGTTAGCAGCTGTAGCACTTAACCACTATACCACTAAGGTTTAATGAATTGTAAATACCACAGTGATTTGATAAATAAATGAACAAGTTCTTCAATAGTCTGATGTTACGTTATTCCTTTTTCTCCTTGAAATTTAATTTCCATTCCACTTTCTCCACATAATTGAATCTTAATATAATGCTATTTTATACTTGTGCATCTTGATCATCCAATCATACTTCTCGGCTACAAAATATATATATATATGTATATATAATTTTTTTTTTTTAATTTCCTGTTGATTATAAGGCACTAAACACTAAAAATTTTACTCTGGACTTGCTTACCATTACAAATATCCAAAGAAATTACTTGCTTAAAATAACATAGATACATTATAACTTTTGGTAATTATTAAACATACCTTTTTTGGAAAACATCTCTTAATGAGATGGAAAATAGGAGGTTGTTTATGGTACTGTGATTAAAGGGGGACTCACAGACAGCAGTATTTTGACATTTTTTTGCTTTGAGATTTCTATACCTCCTAGCAGTTCACCGTGATGCAATATGGAATGAGTGAGAGTTATGCCTTTCTTTTGTGATGAGGAAGAGGGATGATTGTAAAAAGGGTAGTTAGCTATTTGTGTTGTTGCCCTTGTTGATACCATCCACTGGAATGTATGCTTTAGGAGGGCATATGTGCCACTCACTCTTCCGGGTTTAGGTATTGTCTCAGTCATCTAGTGCTGCTCTAACAGAAATACCACAAGTGGATTGATTTAACGAAGAGAAGTTTATTCTCTCACAGTCCAGTAGGCTGCAAGTCCAAATTCAGGACGTCAGCTCCAGGAAAAGGCTCTCTCTCTCTCTTTGTCAGCTCTGGAGGAAGGTCCTTGTCATCAGTCTTTCCTTCATCTGGGAGCATCTCAGCGCAGGAACCTCAGGTCCAAAGGACGTGCTTTGCTCCCGGCACTGCTTTCTTGGTGGTATGAGGTTCCCGTGTGTCTCTGCTCGCTTCTTTCTTTTATATCTCAAACGAGATTGCATTAAGACACTATCTAATCTTGTCAACCTCATCAGTATAACCTTATCACAGTAATAGAATTTACAACACATAAGGAGATCACATCAGATTACATAATCATATAATACTGGAAATCATGACCCAGCCAAGTTGACAGATATTTTTGGGGGACACAATTCAATCCATGACAGGCATACAGTCATGAACAGGAAAAAATAAATAAAAAGCTAAAATGCTTTTTTTATTTAATTTTTTATGTTTTTAGCTGTTCATAACTGTATGCCTAAACCCAGAACAGTAAGTGGCACATAGTAGGCACTCAATAAAATATTTAAGGAATCAATAAATAAATTTATTGGAAGCAAAAAAGCTATTTAATGAATCAGGAAATCACACATGGTAAATACTGTATTTTCCTAGGGTTTGTGTTAGTGGGTTTCCACGGCAACATGAAAAACAGTGGAAAGAACTCTGTGGTCGAATAGTATTGGATCCCGAATTTATGGTGCAGCTTCTCACAGGGGTCTATTATGCCATGTAAGTAGTTGGAATTTGAAATTGTATTCTTCCTAATGTTTGGAAACTATTTTAAAACATTTCTCTTTCTTCCTTTTCAGTAGCATACATAGTTAATGCACACACTTGTTCCATGATGAACCTAGTATCTTGTTTTTCTAATGTGGATTTCTTTTAGTACTTTTAAGATAGCCAAAAATACAACGTAAATAGTCATTAAAATTAAAAGTCTAGAAATTGTTAGTTTCTCTTTATGGAAAACTGTGTATTTCTACCATGCTTAAATTTGTTCATAACCAGGATTTTCATGAATGCATTAAGTAGATTACTGAGAATATCAGCACATGATAAAAACCAGTTTATGAGAAGAAACATCTGTAAACTTTTTAAACATTAATATTTGAAATCTTCATTTTTTTCTTGTAACCAAAAACTGGGATGGCTTAGAAATGAAATGATACAAAAACTGATGTGAAAACCTTGTTTTAGAACCAAAATAGTAGGTCTTGGGACAATAAAAATGTCATATTAAAGATCAGAGATATTTGCTGCAGATAATAAATGATATGCTTCTTTATAGGTATAATGGACAGTGGGACCTTGGCCAGGAAGTCCTTGATGATATCATTTACAGAGCTCAGCTAGAACTCTTTTCTCAACCTCTATTGGTAAGTTATATTTACTCTTTATTAAACATGTCAGTATCTGAAAATCGCACTATTGGGTAAGATAATTCAATATGTAATATATGTTGTTGTTAGGTGCTGTCGAGTTGGTTCCAACTCATGGCAACCCTGTGTACAACAGAATGAAACACTACCTGGTCCTGAGCCATCTTTACAATAGTTGCTGTGTTTGAGCCCATTGTTGTAGCCACTGTGTCAGTCCATCTCGTTGAGGATCTTCCTCTTTTTCGCTGACCCTCTACTTTACCAAGCATGATGTTCTTCTCCAGGGACTGGTTCCTCCTGATAACATGTCCAAAGTATGTGAGACGAAATCTCACCATCCTCACTTCCAGGGACCATTCTGGCTGTACTTCTTTCAAGACAGATTTGTTCATTCTTCTGGCAGTCTGTGGTGTATTCAATATTCTTTGCCAACATCGTAATATAATATGTGAGGCAATGCAAATGAATGAAGGAAAAAAGATTTGTTCTGTAATAACAGTTGGTTAGCTGTTTGAGGGAAAACAAAATTGATTTACTTCCTCGCTACCTACCTCAATATATAATAATTTTATAATGATACATACCGAAATAAAGTTCAGGTAAATCAAAACATTAGATGTTTTGAGATACTTTAAGTAAAAGAGAGAAAGAAAAGTTATAAATATTGATTCAAATCTCTAGAGAAGGGAGGTCTTTCTAAGCTTAAGTGATGGGAAAAGTAACACACACACAAAAAAAGATCTTTTCACCACATAAACATCTAAATTCTAAACTGTCCGTTTTTTTAAAAGCAAAATTAATATGTAGTATGCAAACTGAAAATAGTATTCTCAGCAGACATGACAAGAAAAGGCCAATTAATGTTTGTTCTATATAAACAGATTTCATATGCCTCCTTCCTGTCCCCACCCTCCCGCCCAAAAAAAGTAATCTCCAAAAGGTAAATGATCAATTTTTAAGAAGTGTAAATATCCAATAGTATGGAATAAGGAAGGCAGAGGAAATCATTCTTTACGTTACCAGTGGCAGTATAACACAACTCAGAACATCCCTTTGCCGAAGCAGTGTGGTGATGTGTGTTTGTTTTTTGATACACTGCCCTATGCCAAGAACAATCTCATGTCTAGCAGTCTATCCTCTATCCTAGGAAACTCTTCTAAATACAGAAAAAATTTATTATAAGCACAACATTACCATGTTGTTTTTAATTACAAAGGAATAGAAATAATGTAAATGTTCCATAGCAGAGAATGGTTTGCATTATATTTACTTGATGAAATTAAACATTTGAGAATTTATATTAAAGAAAAATGCTACTTTGCGTTAAGTGGTAAAAGCAATATATGTCTTTATTTATTTTTATTGTACTTTAGATGAAGATTTACAGAGCAAACTAGCTTCTCATTAAATAATTAATACACATATTGTTTTGTGACATTGGTTGCCAATCCCACAACATGTCAGCACTCTCCCCTTCCTGACCTTGGGTTCTCCATTACCAGCTTTCCTGTCCCCTCCTGCCTTCTCATCCTTGTCCCTGATCTGGTGTGCCCATTTAGTCTCGTTTTGTTTTATGGGCTTGTCTAATCTTTGGCTGAAGGGTGAACCTCAGGAGTAACTTTATTACTGAGCTAAAAGGGTGTCTGGGAGCCATGCTCTCAGGGCTTCTCCAGTCTCTGTCAGGCCAGTAAGTCTGATCTCTTTTTTTTTTTTAGTTAGAATTTTGCTCTACATTTTTCTTCAGCTCTGTCCAGGACCCTATATTGTGATCCCTGTCAGAGCAGTAGGTAGTGGTAGCCGGGCACCATCTAGTTGTGCTGGACTCAGTCTGGTGGAGGCTGTGGTAGTTGTGGTCCATTAGTCCTTTGGACTAATCTTTCCCTTGTGTCTTTGGTTTTCTTTATTATCCCTTGCTCCAGAGAGGGTGGGACCAGTGGAGTATCTTAGATGGCCACTCGCAAGCGTTTAAGACCCCAGATGCTACTTACCAAAGTAGAACGTAGAACATTTTCTTTACAAACTATATTATGCCAGTTGAGCTAGATGTTCCCTGAGACCACGGTTCCCACAGCCCTCTACGTCTATTTTTTTAAAATCTAGATAACCAAAAACCAAACCCATTGCCGTCAAGTCGATTCTGACTCATAGGGTTGCTATGAAATCTTGATAGTACAGAAGAAATATACAAAATGCTAACAGTTGTCTAGGTGATTTGACTGTGGATGATTTTTATTTCTTTCCAATTTTCTGGTTTTCTAAGCTTTTTATAGTACTTTTATAATGGTATTTTTTGTGTTATTTATGTGTTTTCTACCGTCAGTACTTTAAGAGCAGTTTTTTTTTTAAATAGCCATTTTCTTTATATCATTTGTTATATTTAAGGTAAATATAAATTTATTGAGGTAGCATTTGCAATAATTCTTTGATATTTGGATTTCCATTTTTTTCTCATCTCAGCATAGCTAATTTTTACTCTAAGGATTACATTAAAACAAAGGAATAACAAACTTACATCATACTAATAATACTTTGTGTTTGTGAGACTTTTTAAATTCATAATTTTATCCTTGCAACAGTCTTGTAAATTAAATAGAGGTGACATTTCCAAGGCAATGTAGGTAAAGAGATTAGTAATCTCTAGTCCTAGAACATTCCTTTATTGTTAGGGGTCTTAGAGAAACCCAATAAATAACATCACCCTTCCCTATTTAAGTCTAGAGCCAAGTGATAAATAGACAAAATAATTGGCAGATGAAGAAACAAGGCATCATCCTTATTACTGATAAACATTGGCTTGAAAGACTGAACTCTCCCCGGCTCCCCACTACCCAAGTCTAACACCTGGAAAAGCTTACTGGAGAGGAAGTTTGAACTGGCAGAGCAGGCACACTTTCCAGGTTGCCAAATTCCACTGGTCCAGGTGGAGAGGAAGGGAGGGAGAAAGGCAATCCTGTAGCTCAAGATGTTTATCAGATTACACTAACCAGTTAAGAAATGAGGACCAATCAAAAACAGTTACTCTCCACCTGGATCTCTTACTCTTCTCCACAAGGAACAGAAAATGGTGGGACAAAATACCAGAAGTGTTGAGGGAAGAATTTTCTTCATGGAAATACAGGAGTGAAGAAAAGGCTATTATTTATCAGAATTAAATTTTACACATTATTTATCATTTGAAGAGTCAGAAACTTACTCTCTTTTATTAGTGTTCAAATGATAATTTTTCTTTCTTTGGAATGCTATTCTTTTCTCTTTGAAAGTCAACAACTTCAAGGAATCAGTGGGATATGTGACTTAACATTTTTAAAAATAAATCCTCATTTGAAAAGCCTACTTAAAAAAATACAGAACAGTGAAGATACCAGCATTTCTGACATATTTTACTTTTAAAGTACAAGTTTTGAATACATATTCAAGAATTATGGAAAGATGAAGTATAGAATAAGCATAAACTATATTGATTGTAAATTTGTATAGACTTATATCATCATTTTAGGTTGCCAATGCCATGAAAAACTCATTACCATTTGACGCTCCTGATTCTTCACAAGAAGGCCAGAAGGTACTTAAAGTAGAAGTCACTCCAACAGTGCCGAGGATTTCTCGTACTGCAATTACAACAGCTTCAATCCGTCGTCATAGATGGAGGAGAGAAGGTGAGTACAGAGTCCCTATAGTCCACTCATGTATTCTAGTAAATTTATCACTGTTTTTACAGGTTACATTAACCATAACATTATAGCAACATGTATAATTAAGCTAAAACTCTTTTCAGTTTTTTGAAATAGCACTAGAAATGTAATTTAAATGTCTAAAGTTATATATATATATATATATGACTCCTCTATGAATGCTAAAGCAAGAAATAAAATTAGGTTAATTTTTTTCCTTTTTTGAGCTAATAATACCAACAGGAAAAAAATATCTTTAATAAGTCTGTTACTATACTGAAAAAAAGGTGCATGTATGGGCATTGTGGGAGAAAACTATGTAAGTGGCCAAACTAATGGTATAATACAAGCTATCTATAAAAGTTAATTCTTGTTTTTAGATTTTTATCTTTGCTTTTAATTTTTTTGGTAAATGCTGAATCCAGCAGTATTTCATAGACATATGGTACTTGAATTGTCCAGTTGTCTTGCCTAAGAGATCTTAATTGCTATTTTAATGATCCCTATTTTTCTGTCCTATTCATTTGCAAACCTCACATTGTTCATCTGCTGCCTTATGTGTGTGCATGCTGTGCACACACATGTAACTATATGAATAGTGTTTGTGTTTATATCATATCCATATATACATTCTCTTATCTGCCTGGGTCAAAATGCTCAGAAAAGAATAGAGCAGCACAAAAGCACTAAAATTTTATATGTTGAATCCCAGATGGCTTTGACTTCTCAAACGAGGCTGACTCGAGTATTCCTGGCTCCCCGATCCAACACGGCTCCACTGACCTAGGGATCAAACGTGTGCAAGAGGGGGAGGTGCTGGTGCGCAGGACCCCTGAGCATGGCTCGCCGGAGCCCAACTCAGCAGCAGCCACAACAGAGGGTAGGAGAGAGATGAGGAGGCAGAAGTCAGTGAGGCAGTTGCTGGAGAAGGATCCTGACTCTCTATCCCCACGCAGAACATCTTTCCATTCTAGAGTGTGTGTCCACTACCCCAGGGTACATTACTTCCTCCTTGCAAAGCACACCCCTTGCCCCCCATATGCCTAGCACCAGGTCAGGTATAATCTTTAGTCACCATCTGTGCTGGCCTGGAGTCTGCATCTCTATGTGATCAAAGAACAGCTTGGCATGGCTACTAACAAGGCAGGGGCCTGTCTCCAAAAGGTCTGCAAATGCTTGGAATTTTTTTCATTACTGAGCATGTTTATTCTAATATTAGGAAAGGAAAAATGTGCCCAATGGACATGAGCCTTATTAGTCAATGTGAATTGATTTTATTCACACAATAATTTATTCTTTAAAAATCTATGAAGAATTTTAAAACATGAATATACTACCTTTGAGAAATTAGAATTGGAGCCAACCAATTTATCTGTAATCCCAGGGTGGCCAGTTAACAAGAATTTATTTTTTGTTTGATAGAGTATACTGGTATACTCTATCTGTGGATCAAGTTAACTGAGTCTATAAGTAGTGGACTACTGACTCTGTAAATGTGCTATCCTGTTGCACACACCATTTTATAATTTATTACAAATTACGATTGTATTACAAAGCTCTCAAATAGAATTGAAATGTATTCCTTAAAGGCCAGATATCCTACTGGGTCTTTGAAAAACAAAGTAGAAAACAGTGTAGGTATTGCAAAATAAGAATTTGCTTTGGCACCCCTCCCCCCATTTGTAAAAGATAACTTCTTTCTAGTAGGAAAGTATTTATGTGCTGTTTTGCGTATAATAGCATAGGAGTTGGCTTTGTGAAGGAAGGCAACAATAGCTGCCTAATTGGGGTTTTTTTTGCGTTATTTAATGTCTTTTATTATTTCATTAAATAATACACAGTATGTAATGTATTACTACTATGGAATCTTTACACTTACTTATGGAATATAATGTAGTTTTAAAATAGGGTATATATTTTTACTTATTTTAAAAACAGAACATACATGAAGTAATTACCTTTCAACTTAGGGAAGTCTGTTGCTCTTTTGGTACATTAGAAATTTGAGCATGCTCAGTAAGAATCTAAATCTGCCCTCTGTTTCCTTGCCCACTTGTCCAGATTGACCTTACTTCATTTAACAGTGTTGCATGTGCATGACCTAGGGTCCCAAAGAAAGAAGTTGCTGCTGTTTTGCAGAGATCATTCTTTAAATGGCTGTGGAAGATGCAGCAAAAACCTTTTTTAGTTTTTCATTATTTCCTTGGGTTACCCCTAGGAGTCAGTTTTATCTTGCCTAAATACGTTAAAAAAAAAAAAAAAAAAAAGAATGTAAGTAGATGTTGAACCCAGAGTTGGCCTAAATTGAACGAAGTCTGGTTAATGATTAAATGAGCCATTGAGATGTGTCTGCTACCAGTGTTACAGTGTTGGAGTATTTGTGCTAAATGACAGTTGATGAAATTCTAGAAAGTATGGATTAGGTTGGAACTTTCCTTTCAGTTCGTCAAAAGTCATACACTTTGAAAAAGGAACCAAAATAGTAGTTAATTTTGATATCTCCTATCAGTGGTAAAGAGATTTCAGTTGGTGAAGGGTGTAGCTACAAGGAAAGAATAATAAATTCCTTGAGTATGTTGGAAATTTCTAAAAAATTATTTTACCTTTTAGTCTAGATTAATTGTAGGCTTTAAATCAATAGAAGCTAAGTTTATAAGGAAAGGCAGTCATAAGTAGAAAGGTTCACTAAAAATCCTTTTCCATTGTCTGTTCTTTGGGTCGTGATTGGTATTGTTATCACATAGGGAGAAAATTAGAAAGGAAAAAAAGTTGTGAGATACAATTAATTGCCTTTTTATTCCTTGAGGTTTGTTAAACAGAAGGAAGACACTTACTAAAATCTATGAAAAGTTTTAGTAATTCTGAAGTCAGCTGGAGCATTTGGATTAACATCAATAATTGACTTTTTTTTAAAAAAAACTTGTTTTCTAGTATGATGGTTTTAAAGTTGTATTTATTGTATGTTGAAATTGAAGGGAAGATATGAGCCTATCACCTACCTTTCTTCGGAGTGTCAAGTGACATTCTATTTGTGACTTTTTAAGCCGAAATTAAAATTATTATTAAGCTGAGAACAATGCCTGTGATTAAAATATAGTCAGTGTTCCAATACATTGAAAAAACATTTCTTAGTGTATAAAATATCAGTAGATTCTCTTGCATGGTGGCTTTTATGTTATCATCTCTTTTATGGCCATATTGCTTGGGCATCAGATCTGCATGTAGCAAGATTCAGTAGCTAGCACTAAGTCTCTCAGACTCCTTTCCTAATAGATAGTCCCAATGTTACATTTCTGTTCACTCCCAATTTTATATTTTACTAATATCAGTTCTGAACCAGTAACTACTTTTTCTTGCACATTTAGTTCTTTATACTAATTGTAAGTAAATTATTAAGGTGATAGAATATCATCTTAATAATTAAAGTTTTTATTTTTGAGGTACATTATATACTCTTCTTTTGAAGAAGGGGTTGAGAGAAGTGGTGTTAGCTACTACTGTTCTTAGTAAACGCATTTTCATATGGCTTTGCATGATAATTGAAGACTTAAACTGCTGGATATAATAAAAAGGTGCTTTTTGCTTTAAGGATAGTCTATTTTATTCTCCTTTAGGAAGGAAGGTAATAATCCATATGAAAATATATAACTGAGAAAATATTTTATTTTTCCAGATATTATGTTAAATAAAAGATTATGTTTAAGTATTTTATATACATTTTACTTTGGTAACGTATCTCAAAATAATATTTGTTTAAAGCTGTCTGTCCTAACAGATTTAGGTTAAACTTTTCTTACAGTCTAGGAAATGAATTTAATGAGGTAGCAAACCACTATCAGTTTTTAAAAGGAGCAAATGTGTTACCTTCTAAGTGAATGTTGATCGTACTTTCAGTAAGAGAATTGGGCTTTCAGAAAACCCCAAAGCGAATATGTTTATGTATACTTGTCTCCTTCCCACAGAATCCCAAGATAAGGATTCTTTGTTAACTGCAGTTTCTCCATGAATCGTGTTGGGGCACTATAGTATTTTTATTATGACAGTAATACATACTCATTGTTAAAAATTTTAACTATTATAGTAATACATTATATGGAAAATAACAGTCCTTGTTAAATGCCCTTGCTGGTCCCCTAACCCTGCTGTCTCTGATAATCAGGCAAATATTTTCTTCACATTAAATGATCAAGCAAATATGGAAAACAGTAAGTAGGTATGTCTGTAAGATAGAATATGATTACGAAGTTACTGGAAGCAGCCTAGAGTTTTAAGTTAGATGTACTAGTTCTATGTTAAAGATTCTAAAGCCACATAGAAGCAGTTAGCTTTTGAGTAAAAATTTTATTGTAGTTAATCAGTGTTTAAGGAGCCCTGGTGGTGCAGTGGTTAAAGCACTCGGCTGCTAACCGAAGGTCAGCAGTTTGAACCCACCAGCCGCTTCATGGAAGAAAGATGTGGCAGTCTGCTTTCATAAAGACTTATAGCCTTGGAAACCCAGTGGGACAGTTCTCCTCAGTCCTGTGGGGTCGCTATGAGTCAGAATCGACTCAATAGCAATGGGTTTTTTGTTTGTTAATTAGGATTTGGCCTGTAGGGATACATGAATTTTTGTTGTAACTCTGAAAACTGAAATTAGGAGGGTCTCTCTTTTGCATGGTCTGTCTGAAGATGGCTTCAGAAAGATGAAGGGAAAAAATTTTTTTAATAGATATGGTCACCTCACATTGACAATTATTATTATTAAAGATTTACACTAAAAGAATGTTGTATTTTACGTAAAGTTGTTTTATGTGCTAAAATTTAGATAACTAAGTTAGTTTGTAGACAGCTTTACAAGAGATGGATTAATTAAACTAAATAAGCAGAATAAATATAATATTAGAATTCTGTATAGATTAAGGTTTATCCCCCTAATAAAACATTTCCAGCCAAACATTACCCAAGAGATAAGGTCAGTGTTGTTATTCACAGCTGCTTTCTATTTAATGAGCTATTGCTTAGTCTGTCTGATTTGTTTTTAGGTGCTGAGGGTGTAAATGGAGGAGAGGAGTCTGTAAACCTGAATGATGCAGATGAAGGATTTTCATCAGGGGCTTCCCTCAGCAGTCAGCCAATTGGGACAAAACCATCATCCTCCTCTCAGAGGGGAAGTTTAAGGAAAGTAGCAACAGGGCGTTCAGCCAAGGATAAAGAAACAGCCTCTGCAATCAAATCCAGTGAGAGCCCTCGAGATTCAGTAGTTCGCAAGCAGTATGTACACCAACCAGCCGATCTTAGTGTAGATTCAGTTGAGCTGACGCCGATGAAGAAACACCTGAGCCTGCCTGCTGGCCAGGTGGTGCCAAAAACCAGTAGTTTAATCCGGACAGCCAGTGCTTCCTCAAGTAAATCATTTGACTATGTAAATGGCAGTCAAGCAAGTACCAGCATTGGGGTTGGCACTGAGGGAGTTACTAATTTAGCAGCTAACAATGCTAATCGTTATTCAACTGTCAGTCTACAGGAAGACCGGCTAGGTCAAGCTGGAGAAGGTAAAGAGCTCCTCAGCCCAGGAGCCCCCTTAACCAAGCAGTCTCGATCCCCAAGTTTCAATATGCAGCTAATATCCCAGGTGTAGCTCTGACATCCTCTCTCTTCTTTCTGCTTATCTTTTAAACTGAACATTTCATTGTGTGAGAAGACACTTCATCCCACATTGTGAAAATATTGGTCATTGTAATCAGGTTTGATTTAGTGTAGGTATCTTCACACTGTATTTTGTATGGAAACAGCAATAAGGTTTTCTTTTTTCTCCTATATCTTCTCTTCACCTATTCCTTGTAAATGTGTTTGTGAAGCAGTATAAAATATATGCCTTTTCCATGCCTTCCTTTCTCCTTGGGTGATGTGCAATCCATCGTAGGCTGATCAGTCCCATTTCAACACTGTGAGACTGAGGATATATTAGAGGAAATGGTGTATATGATCCCTATGAAATGATTCTTTGGCTTTGTTTAAAAAAACAAAACGGGTTTGTTCTCATAATCTATAGAACTATGAAGACTACTGGATCAAATTTTTTTCTCTTTTAACCAGGAGTGCCTCAGAGATTCTGCTATGACTTTGGACTTCTCTGAGTCTGTGCAATCATTTTCTTGAGAAGCATGGGGAGAGGTGGCAGACTGCTGCGCTTTTTCATTAAAATGAGGGTAGCTGTTTATTTTCCTCATCTCTTTTCCTCATCTCCTTTATCCTGAAGACATAAATGTTGAATACTGAGGCATTCAAATCAAGTTGTGGCCTCCTCTGTTGAAGAAGGGGCTCTAAGTTGATTGTGTAGTTGATAATGCACTTTCAATGGCTCTGTAGTCATAATTAACATGTCTTCCCTCCTCCCCACAAGGACATAGGGTCATTTCTGTCCTTAAAGTTTGAACAACTAACAAATCAGAGCATCCAAGGGGCGTGTTCTATTTCCCAGGAATGATTGACACTTTGGTGCTGGGGTTTTGTTGGGGTGGGGGGTTGTTTAGCTTGTGTGGGATTGCGTGTGTGTTAGGGAGATTTTGCTTGCTTTTTTTTGTTGTTGTTGTTGTTTATTTTCCTTTGTGAGCTGATGATGACTGAAGTAGAGCAAGTACGTCTTCAGGTAAAGAGAGGGATTTCTCAGTCCACTTTCTGTGATGTCAGACTATTGGAGAAACCCTTTCAGCTGCTTTCTAGATGTACCTAAATTCAGTCAGATATTTTAGATTAAGATGCCTGAAGTCCTGATAGATCATATACTCCAAGAAAATACATCAGGGGCAGATAATTGGCTGAAAACACTGACACTTAAATGTGACACATTTTTATAGAACATTTCTACCAGGGAGCACTGACTTGATTTCTCCTACAAGGACCACACTGTCTTTGTGTTTAATGTAATGCAATTTGTGTACCTTCTAATCACCTATCTGCAAAAGTTTCTCACTTTTATAAAACTTTGAAATCATGTCAGTAAGCTAGATGTTGAATGTATGTAAGTAGCATTTGGTAACTGTGGTAAGAGGCTACAAAAATGCATTATTGGTTTAAAAAAAAATTCTTTTTTTTTTTAGTTCTGATTTGGTTAGATAAAATTTCATTATAACCTCTTCTGGGTCTCAGGCTCTACTGCTTGAAATAGAAGGGAATATATTGCGTTTTTGAAAATTAGTTTATTGTGAATTAAAATGTTTTAAGTTATCCTTCCATAAAACACATCAGAGCTATTAGTGCTTTGTACATTTAGACATTTTTACTTTATTATTGTGAAAAAATTATATACTGAATTTATAGAAAGCAAGTATTCTCTTAATTAACAGTTTAAAATTTTAACTTTACCAATTAAAATTACAGTAGATTTTGATTAATAAAATAATTAGAAAAATGCCTCTTATTTTCTTCACACCTAAAAATCTCCCTCCTTTTTTCTTTTTTGATTATAAAAGCATTTTTTAAAGGGGCTTTCTGTTAGAATCTTTATAAGAACAGTGATAATATTGTTTGAATTTGGTGGTCTATAACATTTTCAGCTCATATGGAAATGGAACACTAGAACCTGAACTAGTATCTATAACATTGCCAAAGTCTGCAGGAAAGCTAAAAGGTGATAGGTGATTTATTGATTTGTGTGTGTGTGTGTGTGTGTGTGTGTGTGTATGATGTGTACATGTATGTGTATATATCACAAAGATATATTTTAGATATCTCTTCTTTTAATTTGACTAAGGGATGGCAGATAAAAGAATTTTAAAACAGCAAAATAAACGAGGGATAAAGGTCTGTGACATACTGAGAAAAGCAAAGTTTCAGGAATAGAAGAAAAAGAGCATAGTACTTACCAGGGAGTGAAAGCTTGACCATGGCTGGAGGTCAGTCACTTTAGGAGATAATCACCTGGTTTATTGAGGAAGACTGAAGGATTGTTTTTAATTCAACAAATTGGGCGTTTACTGGCATCTAAATCTAGCATAAGTCTAGTTAAAGCACAAAAGAAGTACCAAATAGCAGCAAAGCTGTGCTAAATATAAGACAAAATTTCCCTTTGGTTTTTGTTAGAAATTGTATATCTATAAAATTGGTTTTGAAAAAGTTCAACTTACTTAGAGGGTTTCACTTATCAGTATGTGTATACATATATATTTTGTATATATACACACCCATTAATGTTTCGTGACCTGTAACATTTGTGTTCCATTCTTTTAGGCAATGTGATTTAGGACGAATGAGAAATATCTCACTTAGTTAAAACTTTACATTCAGGTTCTTAGAACAGATTTCCTGTGTAAGATGTAGTTAAAATGGAATGAGTTAGTTTAACAAGCCAAGCTTTTTGATATTCATTTGTATTATTTATTGGCATGTAATTTAAAATAATTTGTTTTAGCTATACAATAGCACTGTTAGAAATACTGACTAGCAATATTTGTACTTTATCCTTTAATAACCTTTTGTTTTATACTTTATAATTACCATTTTTAAAAAGCCTAGCCATCTATGAAAAAGCTATTTAGGGATAAAATAGTTGTTTTCTATAGTAGAACTATTTGATTGAGGCCATCTTTGCCAGGTTGGATTCAGGAAAAGAAAGTAGTATCTGAAGGCTTTGGGAACTCTTTTCTATGACGTTAATTTAAAATCATGTTACTAGAAAACAAACTAAAATGTAAAGTGAAAAGTTGAGTTAGAAGTAAGATTTTTAAATATGAAAATATTTTAAGAAGCTAGGAAGAAAAAATGGTTGTAATTTTAAATCTTGATCCCTACCAACACCCTGACCCTCCCAATTCATTCTATGGTGCCTACTTATTGTAGAATCAAAATTTTTGTGCTAGAAGAGAACCTAGAGATAATCTAGCTAGTCTCCCAACCCTGGTCCCCATATCCATCCTCAGGAAACTGAGACTAAAAGAGGTTGTGACATGATCAAGGTCACGTAACTCAGAAGCAGAGCCAGAATCAAACCCCTGTCTCCTGTCTAATGCATATTAACACCCCACTGCCTCCCTTTATGTGTACTACAATAAATGTGGTACATGACACTCTTCATTTCTACAGTTTATTTAGTTCTAGCCTAGTAGTTGGTGAATAGAGCACATTAAGAAAAGTATTACATCCAGAAGAAATGTAGAATAATAAACATAGACGGGGAAGTGTTAGAAATGTAGCTGTCTGTACAGATGTAAGGATAGATACATTGTTCTTTATTCTAATTTATGCCTTAACTATTTTCTGCCACATAACAGTAGTACGCTGCCATCTTATAGTTGATTATATTTCTGGGGATTTATTTAATGTGAAATAAAACCAATGAAATGGCTTTGATCAGTGTTTCTAGCTATTTTAAAGTAATTTTTGAATCAGCCAGCTTTCACAGTCACCAATGTGGCGAGTTAATTATATTGCACAGTAGAGTATTGCAAGGTGAAGATTAAATAAATTTTATTCCATTAATTTCATCTGCTTAGAGCAGATGCAAGCAATGTTTCCTTGTGTGATTGAAAAAGGCTTATAGCGTGAAGCAATGATTCCATAACGGAACAGTGACTGTGATGTCATTTAAATTGTGTATAACGTATAAAATGACTTAAATGCCGTAGTCTCAGCTATATAAGCTCAATATTTCCAACCTGTATTCTCAAATTCTACTTAGTAGCTTTAAATTAATTATAATTATTTATTAGACACTGGAATACTGAGAAAAGCTTCCTTTCGATTGTTGTGTTTGCACTATTTTTGTGAATATTTTAGTGAAGGGCCCCCCCGCCCCCACCTCACTTTGTGAGGTTGTATGCTCCATTTTTGAGTACTTTAGTTGTTGACAATCAGTTGTCTCATTTAACTCTCTGCATGTTCATTTGTAAATAGAAAAAATTATTCTCTGTATTTAGGGGTAGTACACTATTATACCAACACTGGCAAGGAGATCCCTCCATTTCAGATCTCAAATTACAAAGTAAGCTTTATTTTATGTTTTCAAAAAAAATCAGTTTTTCAGTTTAGAAAAAGTTTAATAGGCCATGCTAGTGGTCAGGAAGTCTATAAGAGTTTTAGGGCAATTTTTCTATACTGTGGCTATGTTAAACAGCCTGAACATAAGACTTTTTACCTTTCAAGTTAAATGATTATTATCATGTTTCAAACCACTAAGTTGTTTGAGACACTTATTTGTAATACTTTAATTTTTTAAAATGCGATTTTTAGAAACAAGTTGTTCGAAGACCAACTAGAAATTATTGATAGCTTAA